TTCCCCCCTCCTCCCCCGTGCCAATCACTGCTACGAGGACTTTCGCTGAGGTGCCCAAGGTCTCTGACATTTATGGTACCTGACTCCTTCCCACTTGCCCTATTGTAGAGCATCTGACAACCTAGGTCTGGCCATTCTGCTCTTTCCCTTGATACCCCAGTTTCTCCACGAGATGGGCATAAGCGAGGGGCCACAAAGTCACGCCAGCAGGAGCCAGGCAGGTGATCTGAAGGTGACGTGGACAGCTGTGAGGCTGTGGCAAACAGAAAACCTGTACAGAGGATTGAAACAAACAAAACTTCAGGAGCCAAACAAACCAAATGCAGGTTGGATTTGGCCCCAAGGTGTGACTGGAGAGACCTTCCAAAGTGAAGGCCTAGGCCGGGTCTTTCCTGGGACGGCCCATTCCCTTAGTGCCTGAGACACACAAAGGTTCGTAACTCCCAGGACGAGAGAGAGAGCTCAGAACTTGGAACAAACCTGGGAGAGACAAAGGGTAATTATGTTTCATTCTTTCAAAATCATATTCAAATGAATTACTCAATCACCCAGTTACATCAAAGTGCGGCACTGCAGCTACCTGAACAAGTCTTTCTGCCTCCCAATTCCAGATTCCTGGGAGAAAGCATTTCATAAGCCCCGTCCAGCATTGGTCCAGCCCTGGTCCAGCTGCTGTGGCCAAGAAGGGGCGGGATCATCGCAGCAACTGTGGCTGGGCGGTGGGTGGGTGAGAATGGGTGGGGCAGTTCTCATGGAGGCAGGGCTTGGGCTGAGCAAAAATCTATGTCAACATCTAAACTAACCTTCAGGATGAGTAGAATGTTCTAGGCCAGCGGTTCTCAACCTGTGGGTCGAGACCCCTTTGGGCAGGGGTCCTCAAACTACGGCCTGCGGGCCACATGTGGCCCACAGAAAACATTTATCCGGCCCGCCGGGTGTTTTTGCCGCTGCTGCCTGTTGCTGAATTTGTTCATAGTTTTTTTTAAAACTATAGTCTGGCCGTCCAACGGTCTGAGGGACAGTGAACTGGCCCCCTGTTTAAAAAGTTTGAGGACCCCTGCTTTTTGGGGTCGAACGACCCTTTCACAGGGGTCGCCTAAGACCATCGGAAAACACATATATAATTACATATTGTTTTTGTGATTAATCACTATGCTTTAATTATGTTCAGGTTGTAACAATGAAAATACATCTTGCATTACGATTCATAACAGTAGCAAAATTACAGTTATGAAGAAGCAACGAAAATAATTTTATGGTTGGGGGTCACCACAACATGAGGAACTGTATTAAAGGGTCGCGGCATTAGGAAGGTTGAGAACCACTGTTCTAGGCCATACGTATGCGTGGGTGAGGGGAGCGAGGTGGATGAGGCATAGAGTTCCAGGAGGAGCGAACAGAATGTGTTGAGATTGCAAATGGCTTTGTATGGAAGGAACTCAGAGGGCAAAGTCAGTCAGACCAAAGAGCGTAGATTTTCTTCTTGAGGGTCGTGGAGAGGATTCGATCTTGGACTCAAGAGACTTGCAAAGTGAACATCACTCTGGCTGCGGGCGGGGAGGACCAGTCGGGGAGCAGCAGAGCAGCAGCAGAGCCAGCTGGTGAGCTGTCCACCTGGTGAGAGGTGACGGTGCTCGCATGGCTGAGGAGTGCGTTCTCCTGGAGTGACAGCAGAAGGTCCAAGCCGGCTTCGGCCTACGCTGCCCTCCAAGCAATGAGCACCCCCAGTGGAGGAGCACCCCCAGGTGCCCATGCCCCCACCTGAAAACCGGTCTTTGACATCTGAGTGAGAACTTTTTTTTTAAAATATATTTTTTATTAATTTCAGAGAGGAAGGAAGAGGGAGAGAGAGATAGAAACATCAAAGATGAGAGAGAATCATTGATTAGCTGCCTCCTGTTCGCTCCCCACTGGGGATCGAGCCCATAACCTGGGCATGTGCCCTTGACTGGAATCGAACCTGGGACCCTTTAGTCCACAGGTCAACGCTCTATCCACTGACCCAAACGGGCTAGGGCAGTGAGGACTCTTGCTCCTCAAAGTGTGTCCTACTGACCAGCATCACATCGCTGATTGCTAGGAATGCAGACTCTCAGGCCCCACCCCAACCCACTGAGCCCACAGCTGCCCTGTAACAAGATCCTCAGGGACTCGTACACCGGTGAGAAAATGTCAAGGACTGTCCTCGGCCATTGCGTAACTCCCATGCAGTTCACTGGGCCTTTCCCACGGCTCCAGACGTCCCTGCCAGTGGCTTCCACTTGCTCAGGTGAGGCCTGGGCGCCCCCCTTCTGCCCCCGGGCTCTGGTATTGTTCCCCAAGCTGCCTGTGATCAGCCCACAGGCCCCTCAGTGGAACTGGGGGAATGTGTGTGTGCGGAATGCCCGTGCACAGACCTGAAAACCTTGCTAGCTTCCTACCACCACTCTCAGCCCTCCCCCTCCCACACCCCCATCTCACCGGCTGTCCGTTTGTCCTTTGCCTTTTTCTCTGCAGGAGATAGTGGACTGGTTCAATGCCCTCCGCGCAGCCCGTCTGCAATACCTAAAGGCGGCCTTTCCTGAGCTCCCAGAGTCTGAGGTGAGCTAACAGTGGACCCCAACTTCTGAGTCTCCTCTCTGCCACCTCCTCTCCTTGTCTGCTGACCTCGAAGACACTCAGAGGCCAGACTAGGTTGGTTTGTAGGCAAGACCTTGAGACTTGGGGTTGGGAACCTCCGAGGGCAACCAACGGCTTCCTCCTGGGGAGGCTGGGGGTAAGGGCCTCACCCGTAGCGAGGCGGCCTCCGAAAGGCAGGCCAGGCGCTCCCCTTCGGGTGTCAAAGGGCTCAGGATTCGGGCATTTCTTCCTGACCCGTTCCCCTCTACAAGGTGCACACGATCCCCACCACACTGCTTACAAAGTGCTTTAGAGCCCCTTTTATCTCGTAATTCCTTTGATCTCATAGTCCTGTAGCAGGCAGTGAGGTGGGGGTGACTGTTCCCATTTTGCTGATGAGACACTGAGTCCCAGGAAGGTCAAGTGGATAATCAGATGTGCTCTTCCCACGCTCACATCCCCCTTGCCCTTCATATTCTGGAAGGCAATTCCCCATTACAATTCTGGCAGGAAAATCTGCCTCCCATGGCCAAGGAGAGGGTGAGCCCTTGAACTTCGTGTTGATTGTCTCCAGCCGTCTGGGGCATCCTGTGCCTCTCTCAGGCTTGGCTGGGGAAGCGGGCTGTGTGGGGGGGAAGCGGGCTGTGTGGGGCAGAGGCTGCTGCCTGGAGCCAGGAGGCCTGGGCTCTCATGGATGCTCTGTGGCTGACCTGCTGTGTGACCCACGCAGGTCACACCACCTCTCTGCACACCTGTTTCCAGATCTGTAAGATGGCACTTCATCTAGGTCCATGGTCGGCAAACTGCGGCTCGCGAGCCACATGCGGCTTTTTGGCCCCTTGAGTGCGGCTCTTCTTAAGCCATAGGAGTAACCTAAGTAAGTTAATGACAATGTACCTACCTATATAGTTTAAGTTTAAAAAATTTGGCTCTCAAAAGAAATTTCAGTCGTTGTACTGTTGATATTTGGCTCTGTTGACTAATGAGTTTGCCGACCACTGAATTCTAGGTCATCTTCAGGGCCCCTCCTAGCTTCGAGGTGCTATGGTCGGGTGTTTAGTTTAGGCCCTACACTACGAGGATTTTGTAAGTGATGGGCTGTCTTATTCCAAACTGGTAGGTCCTCCTTGAAAACCTAAACGCTCCTTCATTCCAGACTTTTCAGGGAGCCAAGTGCCTGGGATGGGGGTCCACTCCAGGCCCAGTGATGCACCGAGATGGTGACCCTCTGAAAGCGGCCCCAGCCGCCTGGGTCAGGGTGCTCCGGGTCTGCAGACTCAGCACCCAGAACTGGCGAGTGCACGTTCCTGGGGGCAGGGTGCTGGGGTGCTGGCTGCTGACTGGAGAGCAGGGAAGGCAAAGTGCAGATGCTCGGCCGGCCGCCTGGATCTGAGCTGGTGCTCCAACTTTGCTGACCTCTGCAGAGGAAATTGGTCGTTGGCCAACATCCTCAATGTCCTCGCGCCTCCCTCATCTGCCATGACTACCCCTATGTGCCCATCTCCCCCTGCCTTTCCTCCACTATGTCTGTGTGAGGTCCTGGGCAGTCGCTTAGGCATCCAGATGCCAGGAGCCCGGGTGTCCTCGTGGGGTTTTGGTCCTGTGCTGAGGATGCATGGACTGAAGCCAGGGAAGCTGTGTTACTAGGGCAAGTCCCCTTACCTCTCTGAGCCTCAGCCTGCTCATCTGTCACCATGGGGACAACACCTACCTCCCAGGGCTATTGTGAGAATCGGGTGAGCCAAGGCATCTGAGGTACAGTGAACATACTCCATCCACGTGTCTTTCCTCCTGCGAGGTGTTTCCCTCGGCCTAGGCTGGCCCTGCCTCGGCTCAGGTTCAGACTGTTGAGCAGAAGGGACTCTGTTTTTTTCTGCAAATGAAGGGATTAAAGTCTATAGAATATGTTTTAGGGGAAGGGAAGTTGTATAGTTTATATTTTTGGGTTTGGCTCACAATTTTCTCCATTTCAGACTTCCTATTCCTATTCCCCAGACCTCACTTCCTCTTTGCCTCTGCCCTGGAGCTCTGGAAGCCCCCTTCCCCCCGCCCCAGAGGGCTGGGCTGTGGTCAGAAGCCCTAGGCTTGCCAGGTTGACCCCCTGGAGCACAGGAGTCAGCATCAACCCCTGGAGGTGTCTCTGGGGCAGCAGGGAAAGCTGCAAGGGACCCTGAAGATCACAGTCCTCCGTCTCCTGATTGCAGGGAGGGAAACAGGCTGGGAGGAGGCAGGGTTTACCAGGGAACACGGCTAGTTGAGGTCAGAACTGGAGCTAGAACCCAGGTCTCCTGACTCCTGGTCCAGAGCTTTCTCTACGTTCCCACTCTGCTGTCCCCTCCTTGGGGCCCTGTATCAGAATCCCCACCCATGACCAGGTCTTGGCCAGGGGCCCGATGAGAGGCGTGTTTATACTCTGGCATCACAGGAGGACCACGTGTGTCTGTCTGGTGTCCATCAGCCCTAGGTGTGAATCCCAGATCTCCATCCTCCCGGCAGGGTGACTTTGGGAGTACCCTTGACCACTGTACCATTATAGTGATAATTCCTACCACCTCACGGGGTGGCTGGGAATTGCTCCCAGAGCCTGATACACACTAGACCTATAGGGGACCCTTACAGGAGGGTTTCCTCAGAGCCTCGTCTGTATCCACCTCCTGGGGGGGTTCGGAGCATTCCTTAAGTTCTTCAACCAAGACTCAGCTGTGTTGGGAAGCCCCGCACACATCTGGCTCTGCTGAAATATTAATATTGCATCCACACCACGTTCCAAATATAACCCCGTGAACCACGCGCACACACATCCTTCCCCATTCCAGACTTCCCCTTTGTGGCCCAGCCAAGTTCAGTGGGGAGCGTGACCCCCGACCCCCCGGGCTGTGAGTCAGGGGGTCAGTGCGTGTCTCTTTTTCCCCAGCTCGTGCCCCTCATCACCAGGAACTACCTCAAACAAGGCTTCATGGAAAAGACTGGTCCAAAGGTACATTCTCCGGGTCCCTGGGGGCTTTCCTGGCCCCTGGCCCAGCGGGCAGGCGGGCAGAACGTGGGAAGTGGGACAAGGAGGGAAGTAGACCAATGTGTGTGAGTTCCCGGGGCCAAGGACCAAGGGGCCAGCTGGCCAGTGTTGCTGCAGGTGCCTCTCCCTATCACCGGGCATCCTCCCTCCTTATCAACACCACCCTCCACTGCTTTCCTCTTAACTCCCCTAAATGACCCTGCTCCTGGGAAAGCATCGCTGCAAGGGACTCCTTGGGGACCAGCTTTTGCCTTTTCCACAACCGTGCGCTCTGTGCTGGGGCCCTGCTGGGGCGTCCACGTGAGTCAGGGGCCGGAGATTAGCCTGAGAAGTCACAGCTGTGCACCATGCGTGGCACGTGGGCATGGCCCTCCCAGCACAAGCACCGCCTCTGCTCCCATTGCCAAACCAGTCCTAACCCCTCAGCGGCTGCTTCTTCCCACTTGCCCGTGAAGGAAAGGGAGGGCAGTGGAGGCTCCTGCTGCCCGAGGGCACCTCACACCCAGACAGCGTATTGGTAGGGCGAGGCTCAAAGTCAGCAGTCTGACTGGAGAGGGTGCGGTGGCGTGAGGAGAGAGAAAGGGGGGATGGAGGAGGAGAAGAGAAAAGGAAGGGGAAAGCAGGAGCTCCCTAAAGACACTCCCAAAGCGGCAGTATCCCAGGCTTTTTTTTTTTTTAAGGTGTGATATGTTGCCAGGATGGTTGTTAAAACTACCAGGAAAGCCCTAGCTGGTTTGGCTCAGTGGATAGAGCGTCCGCCTGCAGACTGAAGGGTCCTGGTTCGATTCAGGTCAAGAGCACATGCCCGGGTTGTAGGCTCGATCCCCAGTTGGGGGGTGTACAAGAGGCAGCGAAATAATGATTCTCTCTCATCATTGATGTTTTTATCTCTCTTTCCCTCTCCCTTCCTCTCTGAAATCAATAAAAATATATTAAAAACAAACAAACAAACAAAACTACCGGGAAAGGTGTTAAGCAATCAGTGTGAAAGGAAGCCTCCGTCAGCTTGAGAGCTAGTCAGAGGGTTGCACATTTTGTTTCCTTCTTTTTTAAAGATAATTTTTTAAATTGATTATATTGATTTCAGAGAGGAAGGGAGGGGGAGAGAGAGGTAGAAACATCAAGGATGAGAGAGAATCATTGATTGGCTGCCTCCTGCATGTCCCACACTGGGAGTCAAGCCCTGACCAAGCCCCGACCAGGAATCGAACCGCGACCTCCTGGCTCCTAGGTGGACACTCAACCCTGAGCCACGCCGGTTGGGCACGTTCCCTTCCTTCAGCAGCCAGTGCACAGCCCGTGGTTCTCGCCCCCATCCCCTGACCTGGGTTAGGCTTTGGCCAGGGCCAGGGCTCTCAGCATTGCTGAGCAGTAGCCATTTCTGATGTCCCCAGCTTCCTCTTTCTGAGACTCCTTGTCCACAGCCCGAGAAAGAGGAAAGCGCCTCTTCCAACGCCCAGCCGCACCTGCAGGCAGCAGGGTGACGCTGGCAGGGCCCAGGGCACAGCCTTCAGAGCTCCAGGGCCTCAGGGAGGGGCGCCGGGTGACTGCAGAGCGGGACCGGCCTGCTCCCCTGGCCTAGTCCAGCCTGGCCCTCTGACCTCTGTGCATCCCCGGCTCGGCCCCCCTGGCGCAAGGTTCCCTCTTTTGCAGCAGAGAGAACCTTTCAAGAAAAGGTGGTTTGCCCTGGACCCCCAGGAACGGAGGCTGCTCTATTACAAGAACCCACTGGTAAGAGCCCCTGCCGGCCCCGCCCCAGGTCACCTGAGAGGGAGGCGGGGTCAGTGCTGGTGGGGAGGCTGCAGGCTGGAGCAACCTGGCCAGGTCACAGCTCTACGTTGGCTTGTGTCTTAGTCATCTCTGCATGAAGCTGCTTCCCCCTCCCCCGCAGGAAGTCCCTTATGTGAATCCAAAATGCTGCCAATGTAGGCAAATGGGTGTTTTCCGTCCTCTCGTCTCCAGGGCCCATGTGTGACCAGAAGGCTGGGAAGTGCAGTGATTAGGAGGGAGGGCTCTAGAACTCAGCTGTCTGGGCTCCGGTTTCGGCCCTGCTACGTTTAGTGGTGTCCCTGGACAGAGTACTTAGCTCTCCGTGCCTCAGTTTCCTCCTCCTGAAAATAGGCTTAATAGCAGTGCCTTCCTGAGAGGTTGCCATGAGGATTGCATGAGGCACCATCTGTAAAGCACTGGTGTTCTTGGGGCTTAGTTAGCTCTCCATAAATACTAAGTATCATCTTCTAAAAAAATTAATCTTCTTAAAGACTTTTTAAAAAATTGATTTTAGAGAAAGAGGAAGGGGTAGTGGGGAGAGAGAGAGTGAGAGGAGAGAAACACCGATTTGTCCCACTTATTTATGCATTCTTGTATGTGCCCTGACCGGGGATCAAACCCGGAACCTTGGTGTATCAGGACAATGCTCTAACCAGCTGAGCGATACTAAATACCATCTGAACAGATGATGCGTGTGATTTCTCTTACAGTTTCAGCCGTTCAGATTCTGGGTCCCACCTCGCCAAAGTTCCCAGTAGAGACCTGCCCACCACCTCTTTCTAAAAGAGAGTTTGGGGGCCGTCACGGCTGCAGGGGGCCCCTGTGCCCCAGGTGTGACCTCTGATGACCCTGTGGCCTCTATTTCCAGGACGCCTTTGACCTGGGCCAGGTGTTTCTCGGGAGCCGGGAGCAGGGGTACGAGGTGTCCGAAGGCCTGCCCAAGAACGTCCAAGGAAACCGCTGGAAAGCCGGCCTCACCATCGTCACCCCTGAGCGCAGGTTCCTCTTCACCTGCCCCAGCGAGAAGGAGCAGGGCGAGTGGCTGGAGAGTTTCCGGGATGTGCTCTCCCGTCCCTTGACATCCTTCAACCTCCTCAGTAAGACGCAGGGCCTGGGATTGTGCTTTTGGCCAAAGGCAGCGGGCAGACAGCGGCTTCTTCACGTGGGTCGGCTCTGAGCCCTGAGACCGGGGTCATGGCTCCTGACTTTCGCCTTTTCTATTCTCTTCCTGCCAAAGAACAGAACAGACAGGGGACATGATTCCCAGCAGCCCTCTCTGTCCACGCTAAGGTCCTCCTCCAGGCGCCCTTCCCCGGTAGCATCTGGAGTTTGTCCTGGCAGAACCCGGTCCAGGGGCCCAGCAGCCTCCCTCTCTCTTCCTCCAGCTCCCTTCCCTAAGTCCCTTTCCTCGTGAGAAAAGCCCTGCCTGTTACTATCAGCGAAGGTCACACCCTGGGGCAGCTTCCAGGGTTCTCTTTTTAATTTTTTGTTTTTATTTATTGAGAGAGAGAGAGAGAGAGAGAGAGAGAGAGAGAGAGATTTGTTGTTCCACGTATTCATGTATTCATAGGTTGATTCTTATTTGTGCCCTGACTGGGGAATTTTTTGTTTTTATTTATTGAGAGAGAGAGAGACAGAGACATTTGTTGTTCCACGTATTCATAGGTTGATTCTTATTTGTGCCCTGACTGGGGATCGAACCCGCAACCTTGGCATATTGGGATGACACGCTAACCAGCTGAGCCACCCGGCCAGGGCCCTGCTCCCAGGATTTGGGATTCCTCCCCACTCACAGAGGGAAGGCTGTTTTTAGTGTCCTTTCCTCTGGGTCCTCCTCCTGTCTGCCCTTCTCCTGCTCCCCCCTGCACCCCAGAGGTGTCACATGCAGGCTTCCCTGCCTGCCAACAGCCCTGTGAATAAAGGGGAGATGTTCTGAGCTAGAGCAGGAACCTTCTGGCCCAGGGCCTGGCTTCTGGGGCCCAAGGGGAAGTTCTGTGTTTGGAAAAGTACAGACTGAGAAAGTGACCCCATATGGCCCCTTGGGAGAAACCCTTGTGCCCTTTGAGTCTGACCAGTGTAAACACAAACTCGCTTCACTTTCCAAACTCTCTGAGCAAAGTGCCTCTGAAACAGACGCAGAAGTGGCTTGGGAAGCACCTCAGCGGGTGCTTTCTTGTCGCCGTGGCCTGTGTGTCTGCGTCTCTCTGTTTCTGTGTTTCTCACTCTCCGCTTTTCTCTTCTTCTCGGGGTGCCTGTCCCCTCTGTCTCTCACCTTTTTTTAAAAAAATATATTTTTTATCGATTTCAGAGAGGAAGAGAGGGAGAGAGAGATAGAAACATCTCTGATGAGAATCATTGATCGGCTGCCTCCCGCACTCCCCACACTGGGGATTGAGCCTGCAACCTGGACATGTGCCCTTGACCGGAATCAAACCCGGGACCCTTCAGTCTGCAGGCCGATGCTCTATCCACTGAGCCAAACTGGCTAGGGTTCCAGCTCTTTTTTAAATTCTGGTCCCCCCTGCCGTGCGCTGTTCCTTCCAGCCTGTAGGACTGCATGGGCACGGCCACCCCCTCATCCCTCTTCTTTTCCCCTTGCAGCTGCATCAACAGAGAGTGGCCACAGCAGCAGGTGACCCGCTGGCCAAGGAACTGGCTGGCCACGGGCCATGGGAGCTCTTGGTGGGAAGGAGACGTTCTCAGCTCGGCCTTGGTTACCCAGCAGGAGCGCCCCGTAGTTGGCAGCCATCACTGGCAGTGAACTCTGCCACGACTAAAGCTTTGGCCTTTACCCACCAAATACTAAGTACCATCTTCTAAAAAAATTAATCTTCTTAAAGACTCACCACGGCCCAGTCTTAAGGCCCAGGACATCTCCAGTGAAGGCACTGCAATGGGAAGGCACCCACAGCATCACTCAAGTGGCACGCTGGCCCCAAAACAGTTTAATCTGACTCAACCATGAGGAAATAGACAAATCTATTCTGTGAAACAGCTGGTCTGGACTCCTCAGTGTCAACATCGTGACAGAGAGAGTGGTGTGCGAACTGTTCTAGTTACAGGCGACTAGAGAGCAACGCCAGGCAATGTGTGATTCTGGATTGGATCCTGGATTTAAAAAAAAAAAACAGCACAAAGGACATAAATTTGAATATGGATGTGTATTAGCCAACAGTATTATAAGACTGTGATAATGATGTATTTGTGGAGGAGAATGCTCTTGTTCTTAGGGGATATGCATTGAAGTGGCCAGGAGTAAAATATAACAATTTTCAGTCTACAACTGACTCAGCAAAAAATAACTATGTGTACATGTATATGTAGAGTATATGCATATATACATATATGTGCTATATATATGGAAGAAGACAGGGAGCACATACATGTCTCTCTGGGGAGAGAGACAGAGCTGCTATGTAAAATGTTAGCAACTGATGAATCTAGATCAGCAGTTTTCAACCTTTTTCATCTTTTGGCACACATACACTAATTACTAAAATTGTGTGACACACCAAAACATAGATTATTCTTTTTGTCCCAGCTGGTGTGGCTCAGTTGGTTAGACGTCATCATGGGCACCAAGTTGCCAGTTCAATTCCCAGTCAGGGCACGTGCCTGGGTTGTGGGCTTGATCCCCAATAGGGGGTGTGCAGAAGGTAGTGGATTGATGTTTCACTCTCACATCAATGTTTCTCTCCCTCTCCCTTCCTCTCTCTCTCTTAAAAAAAATCAATTAAAACCCCCCCACATATTATACTTTTTACTGATCTGACCAAAACAAGGTATAATTTTGATTCATTCACATCGGAAGACTATTACTGTGTGGGCTGTTGTCATTTTTTTTTATTTGACTATCTAAGGGAAAAGAGATCAGTGCCCCTGACCAAATAGTCAAGTATTGCATGTTTTAATTTTTTTTTTTTTTTGCGGCACATGGGTTGAAAGTTGCTGATGTAGATGAAGTATAGATAGGTTTGTATTGCCCTGTTCATGTCAACGTTCTATAGATTTGAGTGTTCAGCCCAGCCAGTGTGCCTCAGTGGTTGAGTATTGAGCCATGAATCAAGAGGTTACCAGATTCCCATGTTTCTCTCTCATCAATTTTTTAAAAACATATATTTTATTGACTTTTTACAGAGAGGAAGGGAGAGAGATAGTCAGAAACATCGATGAGAGAGAAACATCGATCAGCTGCCTCCTGCACATCTCCTACTGGGGATGTGCCCGCAACC